TTAATCTTTACTAAAACATAAATTGGCTTTTTGCAATGCATAATCATGAGAAAATTTATTGCAGTACGGAGTTACACCGAAGCCAAGAGAAAAGGGGGGGGGGGGTTAAGGGAGTGAAAATTCGATACATATGTTTTTTCAAAAGCATATTGTACATAAATGCAATTTTTTTGCGGCACAGAGATACAGCGAGAGACTGAAGAAATGGTGAAAAGGCCAAGGGGAGGGAAGGGAAGGGCCCGTATGGCACGAAATACAAAGAATTCGGAAGAAATTGGCAGAAATCTGTTGAATTTTACAAAATTGAACTTTTGCCTGCTAAAAATACTGTTTCCCTAAACCAGTGTAAGCCCTTGCTTTGAAGTCATTTAATTAGAAATACCCTTTCAAAACTATAGAAGCCATTTATTGTACTACAAGTGAAACTATGAAATTTTATAGAATCAAATAGTCATAGAATCTACATTTTTCAATAAATTACGTTCGATCTGAAAAAGAGTTCTTCTACAAATCTTCGGTCCCTTGTGCTGCGATTCCATTGTAAATTTGCTCACTGATAACTGGAGTGAAGGGGGGGGGGAGATGGTGAAGGGAGGAAACAATACAAAAACCAAAACAAAAATGTGCTGCCATTTTTGAGTAAATGTTAATGAGGCGATTATAGATCGTTTATATATGGTAAATGGGGGGGGGGGACTTTTCATACGATCGGGGACTTCGCACCTAGCCTTCGCACCTCTCCATTCAAGTAATGAGTAAGATTCTCCACTACGCCTAGGTGAGGGGAGGGGGAGGGACATTTCAAACGAACGCTCCTCGATCACTTTGGCCTTCTAGCGTATGCTAGGGTGCTGGTAATACGTCCAGTTATCCACTAAAATAAAACGGTTATTATCAAAAATGCGTAAACTAAAGAATATCCTGATTTTATCTGTTGTATAAAGCTTATCGGGTTGAAATAGCGTATCATAGCAAAGATCGTCAGGCCATAGCGAATTCATTTTCGCAAACAACTGGCACAATTGTGGTAATGAGTAGTTCGCTTTATCAAGTCGCATGCCCTCAAATGGGTGTAGATATGTCGAGAGGAGCGATTCCTGTTGCCAGATGGGCAGCATATAGCGCATATTTAGTGGTTTATGAAGTTCTAGAATTACTTGAAACTTCGAAAGAAATGTATTAGGGAATTTAGGGATTGTTCAATCTCTTCGTCTTGAAATCGATTTCAAACAAAATTGTTAAAGGTCAAAAACACATAAAAATGCAGTTAACAGCGATTTTGTAAATATTTGTGCCAGTTTTCTAGCAAAAGCCGTCAAACTTATCAAGTGGTTACTTCAAACTAGTAAGCCAATGAACTTTGTCCGGCACTTTTTGAATTTTCCCATAGCATGAAACTGGAGTTTTAACTTGATGACACCCAGAAAAATCGCGCCTCTTGACCGTCTTCCCCCTCCAAAATCCCCTATGGGAAGAGTAACACTTCGAGGTCGTGCTGAAAGGTCGGAGAGGCATGTGACAATACTCAAATCAGTTCAAAACGTTTGCAAAAGAGACCGAATTATGTCGGCTTGAATACTAAAAAATTCGTAAGTGGAACGATCATAGTGTTATTTTTCACAGCAAAACAGTTTTTGAATCCATACAGTATTCAAGTTTTCCAAATTTATCCAAATTCGCGGCACTGCAAAAGCTAATCTAGATGTTTTTTTTTTGGGGAGCCAGCAGCCCCAACCTGGCATGATGCCAGTTTTTACTGGATCTTTGCCAAAAGATGATGTGGAGGCATTCGTATGAGAAGTCCCCCTCTCCCCCCCCCCCCCCTCTCTACAGTATACTAGACACGGAGGTGCGAGACTTCACACTTAGCCATAGGTGTTCACACCTCGCACCTCGGAATTGCTCATCGCTTGAATAGTCACTCACCCATGGTAAATGATTTTGAGAACAAAAGATATAAGATGCAGGATCTACCGCGTTTGCAGGAAAATTTGTTTTAATGATTAAAAGCACAGTATACGATGCAAATTCTTAAGCAACCACATTCACCACCCTCAAAAAAAAATCGTTGATTCATTGCTGAAAAATTGTTTAGTCTACTTTGTGATGAAAAATTGTCGACCACAAACATCATTTCAAAGTTTTCCGAGAAAGAGCCACTCTCGAAAAGCAATTTTTAGTAAGAGTATGCAATTTGTCGCGATGCATACAAATTAAAATTTTCTTTCTCAGAATCTAATCAAGCTTGAAATGAGCGCAGTTTATGCAAATTGAGACTTTCTGCCTTTTGCAGAATCTGACAATGCTCTACTGCAAACATCAATCTGCTCAGGAATTACCTTTAAAAGAATTCGAAAAAACTAATTTCAAGTTGAGGTTGTGCTCGTATGAGGATGCTTTTAGCATAGAAACTACCAATAATTTTGTAGATAATTCATTTCAGATGCAACAAAGCTTTCAAGAATTGGATAAAATGTTTTTGAAGTCGTTATCTCTTATATTTGCAGATATTATCGCACTATGTGCAACTTATTAGCGCAAGATAATTTATTGAAGGTTCTCTCATTTCAGGCTTCTATTTACGTAGCCACTGGCTAATCATTCATTCATTACTTCACACATTTCTCCTTTTGCTCCTTTAGCCTCCTCGCACTTTCTTTGAGACGTATAGTCCTCGAACTGTTTATGAGAACTTCCCATGTGGTCATTAACACTTTGTCTTTCAGTGGTTTCTTGCTTGTAAAAAAAAGTCATTATTAAGTTCCATGTTTTCTCCTCTCTGAACCTTGGCATTTGGAATTGATGTTAGTAACTATACTATATTATGCCAGTGCCAGGTTTGTACGGTGGAATTCTTTATTGGCCTTACGTTTCGACAAATTCGTCTTCGTCGGAGGCCTTAATCCACCGTTGTGTTAGTGAGAGTCAGTAGAGTCAGTACGTAGCCGCACCGGAGAGACAGACTACACAGTAGTAGTAGTCTGTCTGTAGTCTGTCTCTCCGGTGCGGCTACGTACTGACTCTACTGACTCTCACTAACACAACGGTGGATTAAGGCCTCCGACGAAGACGAATTTGTCGAAACGTAAGGCCAATAAAGAATTCCACCGTACAAACCTGGCACTGGCATAATATAGTATAGTTACTAAAGTCATTATTATTAACTTTATGAAAGCATGAACAAGTAAGGAAGTAAGCGAACAATCTCGAGCATTTTATTCGTTCTTGCCATTTTACAAGATTTGATGTTTACATTTGCATTTTTTCCCTGACCGGCGAGTTTTCTAAGCTGAGACTATTTGGATTATAGCGGTGAAAGATTTATGACGATAATTGGCATTTGGTTTATTCTAGACTGCTTTTCTGTAAGAAGTAGCGTACTGTAATTCATACTCCAGTCCTCAGATGTATGTATAAATTATTAAAGAAGGAGTAATTGTCCGCTGGTAATTCAACACTTTTAGTTTCACGTCACATAGCTGCAATTCTCTCTGCACAATTTCTGTCTCCAGATTTTTTTTCTCGAAAAAAGAAACAAATAGATACAAAATACAGCTTTTTCTACTTTTTAGCCATACGTTGATCATTTGGGACTATTTTTTAATACAAATTTTTTATGGGGACCCTGCTTTCTGCCCTTTCAACGGTTTTATTCATTTTCGAATAGTTTCTGAATTTTAGCCGAATTCCTTTAGAGTCTCTTGTCATGAACTGTTGGTCCAACGCTCGCACAGTTCAAAAATATTCTTTTTGATAAGATTTCTCCAAAAAAATTCTGTCTACTGATTTTTCGATTACCCTTATATTTCATTAGTTTTTATGTTTCTACATGTCTTCTATTTTCTATATTTTCTACATCTCTTCCTAGCTAAAATGTTGAAAATTTGCAAAAAAATTGTGAAAAAACCTTCCATGTGTAGTTGTTCACAGAGTTACCGTTTCAAGCATGCTATTTGACCTCTACGTAGGGAGCACATATGGTTCGTGAGTATCGTCTATTCTCTGAATAATTGTAAGAAAGCACGCGTTCAATTAACAAGTTCATGTGTGAGTTCTAACGCGTTTTGTTTGATTTAGTATTGGATTTTTGAAAGAACATGTTCGAGCTTGTTAAACAACGAACATGTTCTTTCACGAATTCCTGACAGTAATTCACTAGAACGCGTTAAAACACGCTCATGAAATTGTTAATTGGACGTACGCAAAGCGTGCTCGCGTCTCTTAATTAGATAATGAATGATGGGTTTTAAGTTGAAGTTCCGAAATTTTGGTTGCTAATTCGTCCTGAAATCGTGGATTGGATCAGGGATTTACAAAAAGATGTCCTGAAGTAAGGTCGCTGTAGCTTTGTGGGTTTTAGCAAATTTTACAATTTTTTTCTCTGTAGAATTGATGGTGTACTGTAGTTATAGTAGAATCTTATACAGTGCAATAATGCTGCAGATCACTGAGTCTTTTGCGTATTTGCACTTTTTTGCACTTTAGTCCTTATAAAAAATATATAAGTAAACATAGATATCAAACTTCTGACATGAGGTACTGTAATTTTCCCGTTTCATTGAAACCTCTAAAATTCCTCTAAAAACCTTAATTTGATTAGCTTACAGAGTTTCGTGTTTCAGCACTTCAAAAGAAAATATTTGACGAAGCTCTTAATAATTTCTGTTTTAGGAGCTTCTCAAAAAAGTCTTAAAAATTCTTAAAATTCCCTGCTTTCCAATTGGACTATCAGAAAATTTCTGTTTCAGCTGGTCCTCAAAAAAAAAGTTTTTGAGAGATGTTTGTCCAAACTCCAGCTTAGATAGGTCTGGATGAGCTCCCAAAAGTTTCCCGTTTCGGCACCTTCCTAACTACCCTGGTGCCGTTGGCAATAGCTGTTAGAGCAGCACAAAGCTGTTCGAACACGGGAGTGAGAGTATGAGGGGCGGGGTGTCGCGAGCTATCGTCGGGGGGGGGGGGGGGGAGGAGGTGTGTATAGAACGGGGGGGGGGGCTGCGCTGCTCGCGGGGTGCGAGTGCGAACGAGTGCGAGTGTGTGTGTGCCGTCGCCGCAGCCGCTGCCGCCGCGTGGGGTGTGGCCAAGTCGAGTGAGAGAGAGAGCAGCCGAAGCAGCGCCAAAGCTAGCCAGAAGCGGGCCATCCGCTCAATGGCCGGCCGTTTTCGCGTCAGCTCCGTAAATGCGGCAGCAGCCGCCGACACGACCGCGGCACCAGTGGTCGCGCCAACATCGGTCACTTTAACGATTCCGGTACCGGCTAATGGTCAAACAACACAAGGTGGGTCATTACCTATTTTTTCACACATTTTTACCTTCTCACCATTTTTCACCTTCATAACCTTTGAAAACTGTCCCATTGTGAATTCGATGACCCGTGGCTAGCCTTTTTACGGTCAAAACCCGCCATAAAATATCACGCGATCGATATATCCCCAGGTCCCAAAATGGCAATGATTGCTATTTCATTGAAGTTGCGTACACACACATGCTCTCCCTCCCCAACCATCCAACTCTCTCTCACTCTCTGTTGTCCGCTTCGTACTAATTCAATTTTTTCAAACATCTGATTCGCTAGCTGATCCTTGATTATCGCTCGTAAATCTCTTTTTCCTAGTAAATTCGCGATTAATCATCGCTTTTCATAATGACGGTGCATCTTCAACGAAAGTCATTTCCTTATATTCTCTTTATTTTCGGAACGCTTAAATATACAAAATTTATAAAACATACAATTTATCGTGAAATTTTGTATCTTGGCAATTATATTCTAACCTCTCATTTGTTTCATTATAATATACATGCTTTTATGAAATTGTTGCAAGTTCTCTAACAAATCATACTCTTTTTTAGAACCTCGAATGACTTCCTTGCTCCCACTTTTATCAAGCATCTTGAATCGCTAATACCTATTAATTTTTAATGGAATTTTTTCCAAGTTTCTGTAAGCTCATTTTTTCAGAAGTCCACTTTATTTCGCTTAATTCCATAACTTTTTCTTGAAAGAAGTTGCATGGTCTGTGATTATCAACTCTTTGAAGTCTAATATATTAAATGTTCACGCTTGTAGTTTCTAGTCAAGTTTATTCGATTTCGTTCAAAATTATGGACTCATAGTTTTGATGAGAAAATTCTTTAGCTGTCTAGGCCAGTACATACAAAATTGCTCGACAAGTGCTTCATTCACTTCGAATGTTTGCATTTCTATCAAATGACTCTCACCATGTTTTTGTTCTTAGTACTTCCGCTAAACTTTTCCTGATAATTTCATTTAAAAAATCTATAAGCATTGTCATTGATATTCAGGAGTTTCCTTATCTTGAAGACAGTGAGAAACGATAGAAAATAGATAATTCAGGTCTTTGCGTTTCTTTTATAGTAAATTGCCCTGTTGAGGTCAGAACTTTTGATAAATATGACTGAATTCCTCTGTAATTTTCCCTTAGTGGATCTCCTCCTATATACCTTGAAAAAAAAATACTACAAATGTATAACTTTTCCTTTTCTTAGAAAGATTAAAGAAGGATCAAAGATTCCTATTAAGGATTAAAGACTTTTACGCCTTTCCCACAATCAAAAATTATAGTGATAACCTGGTCATTTGCAATTGATAAGCATTTCAGCCGTGGGTTATCAAGGCAAAGATTTTTTATTATTCTTTCCTCTTTCCTTTTTTTTCTGAAGAAATGGGGATATTAAAGCTGGATTTTCACTTTTAAGTAGATCATTGTGTTTCAAATGACGTATGACATTTCTCACTATATTTCAATTAGTTATTTGGCTTTTTCGACTTTCATAAAGTTCAAACAAAGTTTAAAATTTCGTCAAATACGATTTTAGCGCCAGTTTGCGTGCTTCAGTGTTATTGCAGTCTCCTATGTCATAACTTGCTAGACGTAAATAATAGAATTTACAGCAGAACCTCTTCTTCGAAAACATTTGTGATCCATAATTATTTCAACAATATCGTAACGCGTCACAGACATAGAACCTATAAATTAGCTTGTTATGCTACTATTTTGTTTTCAAATTAGTATTTACGCTTGTCAATAATTTTGATTTTCAGTCAGCAGCTTTAAGTATATAGTATGAGTCATTTTTTGATGAATAAGTCATAAAAAAGGAAGGAGGCAGACATTGCGTGACCGGTTGAGAACAGCTCAATGATCGTCTCGAGGATTTATTATGGCGAAATTTTTACGTCAACAGATAAGCATAGACAGCAGACATTGACTTAGTATCTTTTAAAAAAGGAACTTAAGGAAATAATTATGCGTTTTGAAAAAGAGGGGAAATGAATTTTTGACTGCTTTCTAGGAAGAAAATAGCGCTGGTGAGGGCAATCATATGTACGAGAAAATGAACTTATTGGATTTCTGTGATGATAGAAATGATATAAAGTTGAAGATTTTGCAATTTATCATCATCCAACAGAAATGTGAATTCAAAAACAATAAAAAAAAGTCCGGAAATTTACTGAAAGTTTCTAGAGCGTTGTAAGTCTTATGTAATTTTGATTTCTCTTATCGGCCCAAAAACTCCCAAGTTCTCGTGCTACATATTTATTTATCTCTATTTTTTTATTCATAAGCATTTGCAATACGCGAAATAACAATATTAAGAAGAAAAGTTTTCAATTGGCAAAGTATAAATAACCAAAAGGCTCCGTTTCGTTTCTGCCCTTATACGTAGTAAAAGCATTTACAGACTTTCCCCGGAACTCTTTCAATGATAAAAATAGTTTGTCATTGTCTCTGTTACTAATACATTTACAAAATGATTGAAGTCTGTACAATGAACTTTGTCGTCGTTTTGATAAATTTTAGAATTCCGCTTTCCGCTTCTGATTTGTTCTATTTATGTATTTATTTACCATGTTTGTCCATTTTTCATCTATATTTACAAAGTTCGGCCGAATAACTTCAAAAAAGGGAATCTTCAAAAGTTATTGGTTAAATAATAGCTGTTTTATCACGTACATTCTCGCTTCTATTCTGCCCTCACTTTGAGATTTCTTACTTCAGTAATTAGAAAAAAGCCGAAAAGTTTCACTTAAAGCCTCGAAAGCATTGTATGCTAGAAAATCCATTGTAAGCCCTAGATAGTTAATTTAATTTCTCAAAGCCATTTCCAGAAAGCTGCAGCAAAGGCTTTGCAACCAAACTATTAATGCAAATTTTCCTATCGATCGGTCCAAAGAGAGTTGCAAATTCTTCTATAAGAAAATAGGGCCGCAATATAACTGAAGCTGTTATTCAGTCTAATCGGAGACGAAAGTACAGCTAATCGAGGGAGGGGACACAGCTCGCTAAATTCCCGTACTTAGACTTTCCGGATTTAGCCGTTAAGCTTTGGAAGAACTCAAAACATACTTTGAAGTATGGCGAATACTTCTTCTACGTTAGGTTTGCCCTTAAAACTGCTCAAGTGTTAAATCGGGGAAAATTTAGAAATTGGCTTAGGAATAGTACTTTCCAAAGGATACGGTAACTGGAAATTTGTGTGAGCTAAAAACCAAATTAGACTTTTTCATTAATTTTCCGGGCCATTGGAATCAGTTTCGAGATTTCGTTCTAGTGTGCTGGGGTAAGAAGGGGGGGGGAGGGGAGGGTCTCACTTTTGACAAAATGACAGAATTAGATTTTTTCGACTTTTACCAATGGAGACCAACCCCTCATTCTTTTTTTTCCTCAATTTTACAGTAAAACAAAATGTTTAAGGATTTAATAAAAAAATACTAGACACATGCAAAAGAGGCTTCAAAAATGTATTTATTTAAGAAATTCAAAAAATATCTCAGTTTTCTAAGTTCTTTTCACCGGAATAAGATTTCTTCCTCCAGAAAAACACCCATTCCCTTGATTCCTCGTTCCAATTTCAACTTTTTCCATAAAACCCTTATTTCCCTTAGCCAGCCCCTAAATTATGCAAACTATGATTGCTTTCAATTTCCATCAAAGTTTTGCATGCGCTAGCAAAAAGTTCCCAAGCTCTCTCGTCCCTAATGACTTCTAGCGTTGATGTCCGGGAATTTCCTCCATAATTAAATGTCCGATATGCATCGAAAATGAGTTGGATTCCGTGCAGCTGAGAGAGCGGGAAAAACTCAAATTGAGTTTGGAGAAAATTCATGAGGGAATTTAGAGACCTTGGAGTTCAGTTGGAAATTGCTTTGCTTATAGAATGAGAGGTGTATACAGCAAGTAAAGTGACGCTAGTCAGAATTTGTTCCCCTCGTGAAACAGGAAATTGATGGTAAAGCATAAAATCGTGTTGGGGAATTCTAAATTCAAGAACGGAATTCATTGCATTGCTGCAAAATTTTCTAGTGAATACAAAATCAACTTCAAAAATAAAAACCAGAACAAAAATGTAAATTATATTTTTGTGTAGCATATATATTTGAATAAACAAATATAAAAATTTTAAAATGCAAAAAATTCGTGAAAATAACAAAAAGCATACATAGTAATAAACTTTAATTAACTCATCGTCAAAATATATCATTTAATTTGTCATATTGGTGAGTGGCCCTGATTATGGCCCCATCTTGCGTTGAAGTTGTTGAAGGGCAATTTTTGTCCCTTTTTTGTCTAAAGTTCTTTTCCTAGAATTGGTTTCATAGAGGGTATAAAAGCAATGCTCGACATATATGTCAAATGGAACAACCTTTCCTAAAATCACCGTTTCATAAAAGGTATGAAGACAACGCTTGATCTCTGGTCCCGATATTTTTCTGATCTTTTCAGCCTTTCAAGAAAGTCTTCATCATGCTTAATATCGTATTTTTATGTGCTAATAATAATGAGTTTGCAATTTTTGATATCTTCGTAGTTCTCGAAAAGTTTTCTCTGAGAATAAAAACCTAACCAATTTTTTTCTTTTTCAGTGCTTTTCGGAAATTACACAACAAGCAATAATTTAGCTTTACTTTCGTTCTGTAAAGTTTTGATTATAGTGCGTGGGTAAGAATTCAATCGTTCTAGTTTGATTGTTCGTAATTTCCGACAATTTTCCTTTCGTGCAAGGTTTTTCGTAGAACTCGAACAAAAACAATTTGTTTAAATCATTGTGTATTTTTAGTTAGAAAAATCTACGAACATACATAAAAGGCTTCATTCACTTGAAAATGAATCAACAAAAGTCTTTTATCTCAATTTTTCACACAAAAACAATTGATTTTTTGAAGCATGAGTTATTACAGGGTAATAATAATTATGTGGTCCTCAGCTACTCGTAGAATCATCAATTATTCGCTTTCATCATCGTTATTGCAGTAGA